TGTTTTTTTTTTTTTTTTTTTATATAAACGTTTTCCTCTTTACCCACTCTCTCACATTGTTTCGATGAAATTGTTTCTTTGTTAGACTAATCGTTCTCTTCACCGTCTGAATTCGCTTTCTGTTTGACATTATTGAATAGAAATTTTGGTATAAACTGTGCCCTGGCTTATTGTTTCCTAAAGTGTATTGTATGGTGCTATTATTTTGCTAACAATGCCTTTACACGGTGGCATTTTGAGCTGGCATTTTTATAAAGTCTCTTTTAAAATTTCTGCGTAAATCTTCGCGCCTTTACACGGTGGCATTTTACGATAATAGTGCTTGGCATTTTTTCTGACATTTTATTTTATTCAGTATTTCGTATAGAGCTGTATTGTTGTGCTAATTGTTTGTAGCAGATATTTATAAAGAAGTGATTTAAAATTAAATGTGTGAATCTAAAGAAGAAATGATGGAAAAAGTTATTGAGGTGTTAAATATTGCATTATTAACTTTTATTTTAACTTTCTTTTTTACTTTTTAATACTTCCAATTAATTTTCATATAATTCACTATACAATTCATGGTAGAAGAATATAGGTAGACGCATCGACGCAGCTGCTGGGACAATGAACTGTCAAACCAATTTTGGAATTGAAAATGTTGAATGAAAAGTTATTTAAATTTGTAAAAATCGTTGAAAAACACGCATTATAATAACCTCCAAACGTCGTTGTATTAGAAAACATATAAAAATCTACTTACATTTGAAAAGAAACTAAAATAATTTTGACATATCAATGCTCCCAAGCGTTGATGCATCTACCTGTGTTTTTCTACCATGATACAATTCAATCACTAAAAACATAACAACACAATAAAAGAAACACATCAAAAATTACATTAAAGAAACGATATGAAATGTCAAAATCATAAAAAATTCGGAAGAAGCAAAAAGAGAAATGCAAAGAAAATGGCATGTAACCCTGTGCGGTGGCTTATCGTGCCATTTTTTCTTCTATCCTTGTCTCTCTACACCTTTTACCAACAAAAAAAATGGCATGGTTAAAAAATGACACCGTGTAAAGGCAGTGTTACTCTTAGATGTTTACTTTTTAGAAGCGAAAGAGTAATGAGTAACAATTTGTTTTGTATGACTACTTTATTTCCGTAGAGAACCCTGTATCTTTTGAACGAAACCCTCAATAGCCTTACTTAAAATACTTAAAAAAAGTAAACAAAAACGCTTATAAACAATGTCATACATATATGCACATTTCATTGTTTCTTTTTTTTTTTTTAAATAAAAAAATAGTTTTTAATTTAAAATCAACTGATTTTTTTCATATTTGTGTGAGTTTTTGTTTCTACATTTTAGATATATTTTCATTTCGCAAAAATATTTCATCTTTTGTATGAGTTTTTTTTTTTCATTTGGTTTTGTTTTCATGTTTGTTTTTGGTATGGAGAGGAACTTGTAAAAATGGTCCCCATTTGAAACATTGTTGTCTATTTCTACAGCAACAACGACATGTGCATTAAAACAATATAAAATAATGAATTGATTAAAATATTGAATTATTAAATAAAAAATGAAATAAGAACAATTAAAAAACCAGTTTTTGGACGGACAAAATTAAAATACGTATATATTTTAAAATAAAACTAAAAAAATAACAGTTGAAATAAATTAATAATTTATTTAATATATTTTGTTTTTTTTTAATAATAATTATAATTAAAAATTATATATAATATTAAAAAATTATATATTATATAATATAAAAAACTGCTTGTGTGTGAATATTGAAGCTTTTTAAAAGCTAGTCATTGTGTTTATTATATTATCCATTCTTTTTTTTAAGAAATATTTAATAAAATGTTTATGTTTTTGTTATTAATTTATATATTTTATATATGATGTTGTGTGGGTATGTGTTTTTAGTGTTTCTTTTTATTTAAAGCTTTATACAACACTTTTTTTATTTGTAAATATTAAATTAAATAAGCTATAAAGTTTTATGAAGGAATAACAAATTAGCTTTAAAACAAAATTTGAATTAAAAAAAAAAAACAAGTAAAAAAGCAGCGGCCCGGCCGAACTTTTAATTCTCTCCACCATATAGAAGGAACTTGAAATTTTCAAAAATACCATTTAAACTATGACCTTTATACGGGGGCTATGCGAAAGTGTGGGCCTGCATACAAAATTTTTAGGCACTCATTACAAACATGTAGCCATTTAAAATCATCAAACTCCCAAATAACGGGAGGTACCGTTATATGTGGTGCTATACGAAGACTTGAGCCTTCATAAGTTTTTTAATAGGCTATAGTACCCAATACAAACTTCAAATACGAAATTTAAAACAATTCGGATAAATTATGTCGCAGAAATCATCAAAATACCGAATATAGGGAGATACCATTATATGGGGAGCTATATGAAGACTTGGACCTTTATAAGTTTTTTTTAATCGGCTATAGTACCCGATACAAACTTCAAATACGAAATCTGAAACAATTTGGGTAGACGATGTCGCTAAAATCATCAATATGCCGAATATCGGGAGGTACCGTTATATGGGAGCTATACGAAGACGTGGACTTTCGTAGGAAATTTTTAGGCATAAGCATGCTGTACCTATTTCAAACTTCGAAAACGAAATTTGAAACAATTCGGGTAAATGATATCGCTAAAATCATCAAAATACCGAATATCAGAAGGTACCGTTATATGGAGGGCTATACGAAGACTTGGACCTTCATAAGTTTTTTTTTTTTAATAGGCTATAGTACCGATTACAAACTTTAAATACGAAATCTTAAACAATTTGGGTAGATGATGTCGCTAAAATCATCAATATACCGAAAATCGGGAAGTACCGTTATATGGGTGCTATACGAAGACGTGGACTTTCGTACGAAATTTTTAGGCATAAACTGTAGTACCCATTAAAAACTTCGAATACGAAATTTTAAACAATTCGGGTAAATGATGTCGCTAAAATCATTAATATACCGAAAATCTGAAAGTACCGTTATATGGGGGTTATACGAAGACGTGGACCTATGTATGAATTTTTTAGGCATAAGTTGTAGTACCCATTACAAACTTCGAAAACGAAATTTGAAACAATTCGGATGTCATTAAAATTACCAAAATCCCGAATATAAGGAGGTACCGTAATAGGGGGCAATTATTGGCAAAGTACACATGTGTGCAAAATTTTAACCTTCTATCTCAATTCTTTCGGAAGATAGTGTGCTTACGACAGACAGCCGGACATCGCTTAATCGTCTTAAAATTTTACGCTGATTCTGAATATATACACTTTGTAGGGTCTATCGTAAATTACAAACGGAAAGACAAAGTTAATATACCCACCATAGAATGGTGGAGGGTATAAAAATAATAATAACTATGTTGTTACCTTTGATTGCACTCAATATAGGGATTATCGTTCAAAGTCCACGCATGCTTTTAATCTATGGATCCCTGGTCCGATGCCAAACACTCCTCTAGTGGGATTTTCTAACTCATTTTTTGTGTTACCAACAAAAATCGGTAACTTTGAAACCGAAAATTTTGATATAAAAAAGAAGTTAAAATTGAAAACATATCTACCGGTAGGTCTTACTGGCTGCTTTGATTTCGTCGCTAACTTACCGACAAATTTGGTAAATTACGGAAATTATAAGCAATTTAATTTTACCGACTTTTGTCGGTAACTCACAAAGTTAGCTTGAGAATTTCACTACTGGATATACTTACATCTATTTTTTTCATAATAGGTGTGGTTGGCAAGCCTAAAATTTGCAAAAATTGTTGACAATTTTTACTGTTGTCTGTTTACAAAAGTTCTGCTTAAAAGAGCCATTCGAAGGAGGAGACAGACGAGAGGCCTACAACTTCTTGCAGCATAAATTTCTTCATGCAAACACTTGAGACTCTTCTTCTTCTCCTTCCGGTGTTGTATATTTGGTTCGGTTCATTTTTAATATTTGCGTTCTCAATTTCTTTTAATTGCGGACAAATTGCTTGGTTTTGACAAATGAGATGATTGCTTGCAAGTTTTTGCAGGGATTCCGTTTTTTGTTTACTTTTCACAGTTTTCTTGCAGAAGACAATAAAACTACCTCACTCTCTCAGAGTGCAGGAAAAGTACTTACTACTTTGCGCCTCAATTACATAAGCAGCAGTCGAAACTCCCGGCATTGTGTAAAAATTAACGAAATTAACTTTCTGTTCGCACAAAAAAACTCTTTTTTAAACATAATATTCTTCCTAAATTTCTACTTCTACAGCGTTTTCTACAGACATGTCACTGGAACGAATTCGGTACGAAAGTGATTTTAATTTCATATTTAGCTTCTTCAGAAATCGTAAAAAGCAGAACTTTTCTGGTTTGAAACCACTTTTGTTTTTGCAAGTGAAATTGTATTTCTATGAAAACTTGTGACTTTAAAACACTCTCAAAACACGTTTAAGTAATAACAATGTTGTCTCAGTGACAAATACACAAATAAATTTACATTTTTTTTATATATTTTATTTAAAGTAATTACCAAATTTTAATGGTTTCTCAATTGACGATGCCATTTGTTAACAAAGTGTTGCCACATTATTTTTTCTTGAAAATCATTTTTTCTTCAAATAAAAATTACTCATCTGTGAAAACCAAAACGATGTGGCATTACGAATAATAAACTGAAGCAAAGAGGAAAAACGAAACAAAAAGAACTCTCGAAAAAAGAGTGTGGAAGAAATATTTAAGATATGTATTGTGAAATGCTTTTTAATCAACTATTCATTAATTAATAATTCCTTCTGGTTTTTCGTTTGAAAAAAAAAATTTGTTTGTTTTTTTTTTTTAATTCTGACCTCAAGAATCCCTGATGTTGACTATCGAAGACAGTCGAAATATCGGAAAAATAAATTAAAACGTAAAAAAACAAAGTCGTCTGTTTTTTTTTTAATTCTTACCTCAAGCCAAACGAAAAACCAGAAGAAAATATATTGATCAAAGGTCAACAATAACTATACAAATTAATTAATATTTTAAAGGCAGGCACAGGAATTCGGCACAAGAAATTATTATTATATATTTTATGGACATAGCGAGGGGCCATGTCAAAGGTGAGAGAGTGGCATAGGTTAAAAGAATTGTGTCACAATAAGAAAGAAAATGCAAAAAACTTGTGGTGGTTCTTTCAACAAATATGTGCTCAGGGAAATTGAGGAATCAATTGCAATGTTTCTTTTTGCACTAAAAAAAAAACTCTTTTAAACAGAATATTTAAGGGCTAAGTACATAAGAAGCTTGAAGTCATGGCTAGGCATATTCATGTCAAATTATAATGGAAAACGACGGCTGGATTTTAGTGCGGCTCTGTAATCCCTTTGTGAAATGTCACAAAATATGCCTAGCCATGACTTTAAGCTTCTTATGTACTTAGCCCTTTACACTTCTACAATGTTTCTAATCATGTGTTTTGTTTTGATTCCTCGTTCATTCGTTCTTTCATTCCCCTAATGTTACCATATTGAATATATAATGTTGCCATATTTACACTGAAATCGTTGATCACCAAATCGTACGAAATCTGAAGAAGCTAAAACAAAATCGAACGATTCAAACCATTTTGATACGATTTTGTGACATGTCTGTATATTTCTTTCCCATAACAAAGAAGAAAGGAAAATCACTGTAGGTATTGTTTCTTGTCATTGCAGGGTCAGATCTCCACTTTTCAAATGATATGACACTACGAAAAAGAAATAGAAATCCTGTCATGGAATTGGTCCGAAGAAATTCCTATATTTTGGAAATGAAACCCCTACAATTCACAGGAATAAAATAAAAATGTAATGGAAACAAAACGAAAACAAAATCATAACAGGGATTATTTGGTAATGTTTTTTTTTTTTCTTTATTTTTCTTCCACTTTATTGATTTGTATGTTTTTCCTTTAAATTAATTTTAATTTTGTTGTTGTTTCTGTTGAATGTGCGCATATAAATTATTAATATTAAATATTTGTTTTTGTTTGTTGTTGTTGGTTGGGGGTTTCTTGTTTTTTTTTTTTTTTTTTTTGATTTTCGTAATTTTAATAAAAAGCATAATAACATTAAAAATATATGACACAAAAAGTTTACTTTTGGATTTCCATTCTTTTGTTTTATTTTCGTTCATTAAATTATAAAATAAAAACAAATACAAATTATGCGTTTTATTTCTTCATTCTTTATCATATTAATAGTAAATAATAATTTATATAGAAATAAAACAAAAACAAATAAATTGTTTGCAAATATTATATATAAGGAGTAGACATTATATAATTAAAATTTTAAATACAATAAAAATAATTTTTATTATGAAATTTATTATTTATATTATTATTGTTATTTTTTTCGTGTTAATTCATATTATTTTGTTGCGTTATTATCATGACAAAAAAAAAACAATTATGAATGAAGCTATAGGGCAAAAAGAAAATAAGACCAAAATTAAATAAAAAATAAACAACAAAAAACATAAAAATAAACCAAAATTAGGTTTACAAACAAATACATTAATTTATTGTTATGATTAATATTCTTTTTGTAGGACACATTTTTAAATTAAGGAAAATAATAATATAAATATTTATAGTTTTACTTTTAGGTTTAATAAAAAAAAAGAGAACGTACTCGCATTACACTAGTTTTTTATGTTGTATAGTTGTTTTATTATAAATCTTTTTTTATTATATTTCAATTTACAAATGTAATTTTGCTTATGAGACAAGGAAACATAAAAATTCTTTATTCTGAGTAAGTAGAGGGTTTGGGTTAGGGATTGGGAAGGGTTGTGTGGGATTTGATAGAATGGATGATACATGAATGACTTCGGTTTTTTTACATGTCCAAATGATTATTATATAAATACATTCTTAAAACCTTGCAATTAAAAATAATCTTCGATTTCGACATTTATTTACAGAGAAAGAAAGATTGTTATCATGTTGTTGGTGAAAATAGAATAGAAAAGGAATTTTCAAAATGTCTGTTTCAGAAATATAAAAAATAATTTTTCGCAGGGTCCCTCTCATAACATAAAAACCGGCAATACTTGATTTACAGAAGACTTAAATAGAAATAGGCAAAAATTCTTACGAAATTCATATTGAGTCACAGCTGAAAATTATGTACAAAAATATTGTAAAACTTTGGAAAACTAATAAAATTCAATCCAAGATTTTTAATATACAGAAGAGGCATAGTTTTTGAGATCTAACAACCGGTCAAAGACATTGCTTCTCTTATGTAAAAAACAACATCCTTAGCTCAGAACTTCACAAAACTGGAATAAACTGAGAGATGGTTCATGCGATCGGTGTTTTGTATTTTCTAATGAAATATTGACTTTCATCTATTCTGTAACTTTAGTGTTCAGATGCAAATTGACCCTAGAGCAATAATTGCTTTTTCATAAAATATTTTATAAATGAAATTAAATATAGATTGAAAGTTCTCAACAGATTGAAGACACTTATGTAACAACTGTCCCCTACATATTCTCTATAGGAAATATTTATTAGACTGGAAATAAATATCGAAATTATATTCCCTCCAATTTTAAAAATGCGTTTTAGAATTGAAAAACTATGAAAAAACTTTTAGCTATTGCTTAAAAGGTAATGAAAATATCAAGACTTCAATTTCTTTTGAACAAGTCAACAAAATAAGAGGTTGAAAATATTGAAAATTTCTGCAGAGATTTTCACTCTTTGAAGAACTGTCCCTAAATATTGACTCAGGGAAATATCGAAGGAATACAGCTTTTAAGAACTATTGAACCAAATGATTGTGCCATCAAAAATCTACTGAAAATGTCAGGACATTCTTGACAAGGCATCTCCTTTTACAAATTTTATGGATAAATAAAAAAAGGTGATATTACAATTTTTTTTCAATTCTAAACAAATAAAAGACACCATATTAAAAAGGGGAAACAACTCAAGTTATTCATCAAAATCTATCGAAAATCTCAGGAATTCATTAACTAAGCATCGCCATTTCAAAGTTGCACGAATTGATCAACATTGCAGTGGGTGCTACTTTTACAAATGAAACCTATTTAAAGCTCTCAACAAATAAAAGGCATGCTATCAACAACAGTCTTGAGATATACTCTACCACAGGAATCAGAATAAAAGGGGACCTTCTGCTATTCGCTCCAGAAAATATCAAAGGAGTACAACTTTTATATATTTTAAGCTACAAGGCAATAAAGTGATGAAGGTGGGGAAGTCTCCATTAAATTTAAACGTAGCAAAGTCTTTCTTGGAAAAAAGTCGATTTTTATGGGTAAGTTGTTATTTCCGGAGCAAAACATTGACATCAAGTGTAGATATTATTAATACAGGAAAGTCAGCATCAAATTTGACAAAAAGGAAGACTATCTTCAAGTGTTTGAATCCACTTTTAAAGATAAACAAAATGTTACTCTGCTAGTAAAAACAATGATTTCAACTAAAGAAAAATATTTACACAGGAGGTCTGCCTCAGATTTGAAATCAGCTACATATTTCTTAGAGTGTTTGAAACCATATTTAAATAGAACATCTTTTTTAGATTTGCCAAAAGCCTTAGCGAGTTCCATTTATTCTTAACCGGGTTGAAAAGTCGATGAAATAACTTTTCAATTTAATGAAATTGTTCTAATTTGAATTCATTTATATTTTAGTTTTGATAACACTTTCCAAGATATTACAATCACTTCGGAATGTGTTGAATCTGGAGAATGGTGCTCTTTGAGAAATTGGAAATTAAAGGTAAAGAGTATAAAGAACCTTGTAAGGATTTGTTAAGTTAATCAGTCAGTCAGTTAATCCCAGCAAATTTGCTCTTGGTTTTCAGAAGACCGTGCGGTGATCTAAATCCATATATTTGAACATTTTCTGTAGAATAAATTGCTGCTGAGAAAATCCAAAAAAAAAAAAAATGAAAATGGTTCCATAAATAAATAGAAAAAAAAACGGAAAAATTCAAAAAAAAAAAAAAAAAAAATACGGGATGAAATTCTTAAATAACCATGAAATATGTTTTTGAAGATAAAATTAACTCTCCGTTGTCTATATATTATTAGTCTGTTATAAAAGCCTTTGTCCTAGAACAAATCCTTAAGTGCAATCAAAATTTTCTCAAGTATTAAATCTAAACACAGTTATTATTTTTTTGAAGTCATAAGTCAAACCAGGACCATTTTCGTGAATTTTAGTTTTGTCTTTCCTGATTTTTCAACCATTCAAGTCAAAGCTTTTAGCCTTGGACAGAGTTTTTTAAGTCTCTGGGAGATTCTTCCTACATATATACCTTATACTCTTCTGTCAACAAAATGTCTCTATTAAAGAAAGTAGTACCGGTTTAGATTTTTCTATTTGAGTGAGGTATTTTAAATATTGCCTGACCTAGTACTGAAAAATATACAGACATGTCACAAGAATGAATTCGGTACGAAAGAGATTTTAATTTCGTTATTTTTTCGTTCAGAATTTCGATTTTCGATTTGAAACCACTTTTGTTTCGGTCCGAAGCATCTCTTAAATTCCTCCGACGTATTTTTTCAGTATTGTGTGTATTACTTTGCGCTTCAATTATTTCTAATTCATTTTTAATTATGTGTTTTGTTGTGATTCCTTATTCATTCGTTCTTTCATTCCCCTAATGTTACCATATTGAATATATAATGTTGCCACTGAATTCGTAGTTCACCAAATCGTACGAAATCTGAAGAAGGTAAAACAAAATTGTACGATTTTGAAATTGCGAAATTCGAACCATTTCGATACGATTTTGTGACATGCCTGATATTGTAAGAGAATTCAACATTTTGAAAGGGTTCACACAAGTAAGGGTGGGAATACATAAAGCGCAAATTTGCCTGGCTTAAGTCATCGGCTGGCTTCTTCGTAGAGAAGCAAAGGTGTTTTAGGTTGACTTAGTTCGGAAATGACCCTGGGCTCCTTTGTTCGTTTCCTAAGCCAGCCAAAAAAGCGCTTTATGTATTCTCACCTTAAGGCCTATATAAGGTCGGTCAAGAAGTCTTTCGATAGTAAACCTAGTTATCAGATGGGATCAGACCATGCACCCAACATGATTTGTTCTTCACTTATAATACAACTGTCATCATAATCATGGCCGATATAAGGTCGGCCTGTAAAGGCCCATCTGACAAGCAACTTTGCTGTTAAAAGACATAATTGTGAGTTGATGTCAAATCACAAAAAAATACTAAGTCTCTTCTCAAATTGTTGTCAAAAGTAGTCTTGTTGGCCGGTTTTATGTAGGCCATGATCATAATACATTAGCTTTGTCCTTGATCAGATTTTCCGGACAATAAAATGTTGTAATTAAAACTGTCACGAACTGAGGGACGGATAGCAGGCACACATATTGCTTCAGTTCTTCAACATATGGAGATTTTTTGTTACAAATGACAGGCCAAGGCGTAAGGTTTAAAACTGTTAAAAAAAAATTGAGTAAAATCATCTACACTTTTACAATGTATAGATACATATATATATACATTTCTTTTTCTATTATAAGCTATTGTTATCGTTAAAAAGGGGGTTTCATAAAGTGTTTTTACTCCAAAAGCTTTTGCAAACCATAGAGACAGAAGTCTGTGTTTGTTATGTGAAAAATATGCATACCCATTAGGCAGCCAACAAAAGTGAAATTAAATGCAAATTTTGAGAATTTATTCTTTTTTTTTCAATATAGATTGGTTTTAAAAATATATTTTTTTTCATATAAATAATATATAAGATTAGACATTTGGTTACAATTACAATAATAATTGTTTACAAAGTAAACTAATAAAAACATAATAATTTTTATTGATTTATTTTTTTAATTAAAAATTGATTGGACACATAAAAAGTGGGCGAGTGTGTTTTTCTTTCATTATGAATGAGAGGTGGGGAGTGGGGAATTTAAGGATAAGGAGGTATGGTTTTTATGCCATTTTAGCAAACATATATTAATTATTTAATTAAACAAGGCAGCTCTTCAAAATGGATGTTTTGTTCTTTGTAAGGTGTTTCATTTTGGTTTTTCTTTCTTTCTTTCTTTCTTTTGTGTGTTTGTTTTGATTCATACATTTTGAATTTGTGTGTGTGTGTTTGTGTTTCTTTTAAAACTTATGCATTAAACGGTATATAAGGAGAGAGATAGATATAGAAGAAGTTGGAGAATTTTACTTTTTTTTAATTTGCTTTATTTTATTGTTAAATATATTTGTATTAAATATATGTATAATTCTTATTATTTAGGAGTGGTTGTTTTGTTGATGCTGATACTTATTTGTGGTTGTAGTTGTTGTTACAATTTTCCCGTATGTAGTTTTTGTTTCAGTAACGGTTGTGTGCGTGTGTGTACTTGTTGTAGTAGTTGGTTGTTGTTGTCTTACAATATTCAATATTGAATTTAGATAAATTTCTTGACTTTTCTTTTTTTGTGGTGGTTATGGGCGTTGGATGGAGGTTACAATTCTTCAAACAAAATATATAAATTTGATACGATACTGTGTGCATATAAATATGGTATATTGTTAAATTGAAGTGGAGAGGGAGGGAAGTGGGAAAATAATCTATTAGTTTTTTTTTTTTTGGTTCTATTACAAAGAGATAATTTTCAATTACAAATAAATTATAATTTAGTCATATAGTTTTAGTACCACAATAAAAAACAAAAAAAAATTATCTTTCTCTTTCTCTAGCTTCTTCTAATATTTCATTTTCTTGGGCTTTTTCATGTTATTGTTGTCAAAACTAAAAAAATCGCTTATGACTGGCGGTTTTCTGTGTTCAAATAGAAATTTAGCATTAGTTTTTAATTTTGTTTTACCCAATCAGTTTAGTTAATTTTGTTGTTGTTGTTCTTCTTCTTCTTTTTTCACATTACATTATTCTTTTTTTATTATAATTTATTTATTAAATTATTTTTTGTTTTTTTTTTTTTATATAAAGTATATAATTTGTTATAATTAGCGTTATAACATTTTGTTTTTTGTTTTGTTTTCTCTTCTTATTTATTTTATTTTTCTTTTATTATTAAATTAGTACATTCTGTTTTTATTTGTTTTATTATGTACTCAAATATTCTTCATTTTTTGTGCTTTTTTTTCTTGTTTCTTCTCTCTTCCATTTAAAGAAATGTTTTGTATTAAATATTTTGTTGTTGTTCTCCTTTTTTTTTTTTTGAAAAATCAATTAAACTACGTTCTTGTTTCTTGTGTTTGTTGTTCTGTCGTTATTGGATTTGGGGTTATATTCTTTTTTGGGTTAAGGTTTTTTGTGTTGTTGTAGTTGGAAAAAGAAGGAATTCATCATTCATAATTAATAAAATCACAAAATTAGTTCTTTTCATGTTGTTGTAGTTGTGTTGTTGTTGTTGTTGGTTTTTGTTGCTGTCTAAATGACCCGTTTTTTAGACTAAATTATATTCCTTTAGATTTGATTGAAGAATTGTATCCTTAACAGCTGCAAACACAAATCGAATATTTTCCGTATCTAAAAGGGAGAGAAAGGAAAAAAAATTAGAATATGAATGGAACGCATTATAAATTAAACCAAATTATTTTAAATGGAAGTGTTAATCGAGACACACACAAATGTAGAAATCCCTAAAATTTGTATTATTTATGACTAACCGATGTATTACAAATAAAGTTTGGCCGGAACGATTTTCTATTCTCTAAGATTTGATAGCTTTGTATAAGGGCTATACCTTTATTGAAAATTTTGTTATTGTTTTTATTTTAGTTTTATGTAATTCTTTGGTTCTTTTTCTTACGATCTCGTCACTTGGGTAAAAAAAGTCTTTAGTCATAGAAGTTATTTTTAAAATAGTTTATAGGGAGAATATCCCAGACATAAAAAAGGGTTGGTATTCTAAACTGCTAAACATTACCATCGTTCTTCACTAATAAACAAACGCTGTTTTATATATAAACAACAATAATGGGATTATGCCTGACCATTTTGCAACAACAAAATGCTATGGTAACCCGAACAAACAAGCCAACACTGTTTTTATTGCATTCGGCAGTAAGAGATCTAATACGACATTGTAATCTTCGCTTCGCTCTGTCGCTCTCGGGGTGTTCCACAAATTGTCGGTCAAAATATATACGGATTATTCGCCGTAACGTTGTTCAAAGTCTTATTTTCAGTGTTTGGGAATGATTTAACCGTTACTTACAGCTTACTCATATGTTGCAACACTTCAGATGGTCTAGCCACTTTTTTCCTCTTAACCCCAGATAACTTCCACTGTCAATTTACTGATTCTGGGATCATTAGGTTGGAACGACAAAGATCATCAGGCTCATTTGCTATCCACGCTGCTTCTGCCGAGAAATTCGGTGTAATTTTGGCTATTCGACCATCGAACGGCTGCAGTTTTGGTAATGTTTCGGAAAATCTTGGTTCACCAACCAGAAGCGAAGGTTGGTGAACTCTCTGAATTCGGTTAGTGAGCATTACCATTAAGGTTAAGGAATGTACGACGTTCAGAGGTTATGAAATCGGGTGATCTGGTTATGGAGACGATTATCGGGAGATAATCAAAATATTCCTCCGATTCATAAATTCAACTATCTCATCTATTTTACCTTGGAAACCGTTGTAATTAATTTGTAATAATCAAGTAAAATCCGGAGTTGCGTTATATGTTGCTATTCAGGAGACTAGGATGGAGTTCTCTACTCTGATGAAAACTCAAATGAGGACAACGAAGACTTGGATTCGCTGGAGACCATGTTGCTGCAACACATCGCAAGTTCGTTTAAGTCTCACAACCCATTTAATCCGGAACAATGTATGAAGTGCACTCATACTGTTAGTCGCACCGAAACAGATCTGCAGTGGATGACCATCTGACAAACCGAGCAGAACCAAGGTCGGGGGGTTTCTTCTATCCCGGCATGAACCAAAATAATGAGTATTTTTTGAAATATATATTTTTTACAAAGGGTGATTTTTTAGCTATTATCTTTTTGACAACACAATTAAATCTAAAGGGTAACTGTTACTCAACAAAGTGGGAAGTTCTGCGAAAGGATTTAGGTGTGAAGCGTTGCAAAATACAGCTGACGAGAGATTTGAAACCGAACGTCCTACAAAAACGCATAATTTTTGTTGAATGAGCTCTTTGAAAGTTGACGAAAGACCATTTTTGCCTCAATGGATACGTAAATAAACCGAATTGTCGATTTGTGGAGTAGAAATATTGCAAACACTATCATTGCATCCAGAAATGGTCAAAGTTTTCTGTGGACCGGTGAATTTATTGGAGCGTACTTCTTCAAAGATACAACGAGTCGTAACGTAACTGTGAATCGTGAGAGCTACCGTGGCATGATATCCAACTTTTTTTGTCCAAAATGCAAGAGCTGGACTTGCATGACATGTGGTTTCATTAACTCACTTGCCCCACAGCTGGCATAACAATTGATTTAGAGAGAGAACAGTTCGGTTAACATTTTTTACGTTTAATCAATAAACAAATAAGAAAAGGCTATAGTCGTGCGAGGCCGACCATGCGATACCCTACAGCACTACAATGTGTTAGAAGCTCCCTTAGTTCCAAAACCATTTTGGAAGATTTCGCTTTTGAAATTATGCCACGGAGCACTGCCCAGATTATACCCTTAGCATTTCGACCAGGGACATTTGTCCAATATTTACCCACTCCGTCGTGCTGTTAGTTGGGGCGATTCATTTTACAGCTAAATATTATCCGATGATCATCATCCAACATGCAGGACTTTTTCCCTGCCTTAAACTCTCTTTTCAGACGTGTCGATTGGCTTCATGGTGTGATCAGAAAATGTTTTCTGTTTTTCCAAGAGCAAGAGGCCCGTCTGTATCTCCAAATTTAGATTATTTTTAATGATTTACTTGTCTACGATATTTGGCTATATTTGTCAACAAAATGAGCATAAAAAAACCAGAAGTTCAATTTTTTCTATATTTCGGATATTGCTTGTAAATAATGTTGGTATTTTTTCACACAAAAGTAGTGGTTTATTCCACCCTATGTCCTAAATTCTAACTTCATGCGAGATTTTGTGTCCTGTGGTTTATATTTGTGACATTTATAACGGCTGCAAAATCAGAAATATTTTAGTTGTTGGTCTATGTCAACCCCTAAATATATTGCGGATACCTTTGAAAACTATAGTCCTAGCCCTTCTGAGCCTAACCCTTCCTTTGTGAAAATTTTCGTGAAGATCGGACGATAATTTCAATCTGTATATAATAAGCCTAACCTGTGTTGTAATGAGAAAAAATATTACAAAATATACACTTCAATATTATAAGTCAAATTGAAAAAAAAAATATGAAAAAAAAAAAAAATAAAAATATCACAAAATACTACAAAATCTATAACCTTATTGGCATCTTTTTATGCGTTTTTTTATATTTTATACGTTTATGCCAAGAGGGCATTCTGAATTGACAAATTTTGTCAAAATTGGTCCAGCCACTCTTGAGTTAAAAGCATTCTAGCTAACATTTCCTTCCCTTGTAAATATACATTGTATATAATTCGCTATAAATATCCGATATATTTTTACTATCGGCATCTATGTAACGGCTTAGGATTGACCTGTTCATCTATTTGTGATTTCGCCGGCATTATAAATATTCGCGGCTTAATGGGAAATTTGACTTTTATTTAACACAAATGTTATGGTCTATTTCCCCACTAAATATTACCCAATGACCATCAAAAGTTCAAGGCTTCTGCCCAAATTAACATGGACAGACGGACGGACATACATAGCTTGGGAGATAGGAAGATCCATATATAATTCCTATATGGGAAACCAATATATGGAAACCAATTAATTTTTGGCCCAATCAAACTTATAATACCCCCAACACATAGTGTTGTAGGGTATAAACACGATCCTATAGCTCTAAAAAATCACCTTTAAGTTATAAACATGCATCCTTAGGAATGGCTGGAATTCTAACCTAACTTTATGTGGATAAAAGGAGGATATGATTATAACTATATCAGCTCGTCAATTGGTTTTGAAATTTTGTTCTAGGACCAACATCATAATATTTAATATTAAAGTATAAAAAATAAATAATAATTTTACATTAAAAATAAAACAATACACATATTTTTGGCACTTTATTTTTAAGCTTCTTTTTTTTTTTGTTATTCTTTTAAAGTTTTTAATTTCGCTATACATTATAATGAAAGGAATTGCATAAAACTATGGAAGTAAATAACATATTTTTTTATCTAAAATATTTCAATATTTTTTTTTATTATTTGTTTGTATAATTTCCATTATTTTTACGCTCGTATATATTTAGTTTAGAATAAAAAAATAATAACATAACCATTAACTCCAAGTAGTTTAGATTTCGGCCACGATCAAATAACTTAGGGGGTGAGGGGGTATTTTAAGAAAATTTAAATAAAAGTAAAAAATAAATTGGTTGCATGAAAATCGGTAGAAAATTGTTTTGTCGTTATAGCCCAGAGCCCAGTTGTTGGCAAGTCCCAAACACCCAGCTGGATGGTGGATGGTACTCTTAACCCAAATTGAATTCTTTTAGAGCATTTTGCATGATTGTATCTTTGACGGCGCAAAATACAAGCTTAATGTTTTCAGTATCTGTTGGTTGTTTTTATTTCGTTGGAAGTTCAAAGAAAATTATATTTTTAAGAAATTCAAAGAAAAAGATAAAGAAAGAAAATTGGAAATAAAGAAAATATGTTGATTAATTTTGAAAGAATCTTTGTTGGAAGATATTTTTTTTTTCTCTAGCCAAATACGAAAGCAAAATCAAAAGCATACATCAAAGTTGACAAAGTAAAAACTAGCTCAAATGGGTGATTTTAAATTAAAAAAAAATAATAAGTAAAAAATTGAAGAAAATACCTTTGTAGTGTTGCACTGTCATCTTCAGAATTTAAAGTAAAAACATAATGAATAATTTAAGATAAAGTTCAAAGTTTCTACCCACCTTAGAGTAAACAAGTAAAAAAGATGTAAGTTCGGTCGGGCCGAACTTTGAATTACCTCCACCATTTGGAACGAATTTGGCAATTCTCAAAAACAATAAAATCCGTTAAAATTCTGTTAATATCTTAAAAATAACGAATGTAGCTGTTATATTAGGGTCTAACGACGACATGGACCTCCATAGGCAACTTTTGCCATAAGCCATTACAATATTCAAATGCGAAACTTAAAAAAAATCGGTGAATAATGTAGCTAAAATCATCAAGATACCAAATATCGGGAAGTACCGTTATATGTGGGCTATACGAAGACGTGGTCCTACACAGACAATTTTCTGTCTTATGCTGTAGTATCCATTACGAACTTCAAATACCAAATTTGAAACAATTCCGGTGAATTATGTCACTAAAATCATCAAATTATCGAATATCGGGAGGTACCGTTATATGGGGGCTATACAAAGACGCGGACCTGCACAGACAATTTTTTTGTCTTAGGCTGTAGTATCCATTACGAACTTCAAATACCAAATTTGAAACAAACCGGTGAATTATGTCACTAAAATCATCAAATTATCGAATTATCGAATATCGGGAGGTACCGTTATATGGGAGGTAAACGAAGACGTGGACCTGCACAGATAATTTTCTATTTAAGGCTGTAGCATCTATTACGAACATTAAATACCAAATTCGAAACAATAATGTTGCTAAAATCCACAAAATACCGAATATCGGGAGGTACCGTTATATGGGGTCTATTCGAAGACGTGGACCTACATGGCCCATTTTCAATACCAAAAGTCCTGCAGGCATAATATATATTTGAGTAAAATTTCATCAATCTACTTCATTTCGTTCGGAAGCTAGAGTGATTTCTACAAACGGACGGACATCGCTGAATTTACACAGAATTTCATGCTGATCAAGGATATACATATATACTTTGTTGGGTCTAAAATGTATATTTCGAGGTGTTACAAACGGAATGACAAACTTAATATACCCTCCATACTATGGTGGAGGGTATAACAATGTTTGAAGTAACAAATAGAATTGTGAGTTTCAATAAAAAATAGAATATCAATAACCGAAAATGAATGAACAAAACTCGGTCGGAGTTACAAAGCAATCACTTTGAAATTTGGTTATGCAAAAGATACGTGAGATTATCGTTGGTCCTGTAAGCATACTTTTCCAATATGGTCGACCCTGCTATTAGCAATTTTAAGGTATGTGAAAAGTACTCCTTCTCAGGACACAAGGTCTGTAATGCCATACGTCAGAGTTGAAACAGTATCCTCGAGGTCTGAAATCAACCAATGATATCGAGAGAGCAGAGAATGTTGTCACAAGTGTGCTTCGTTTAAGCTATGAAAAATCTTGTCCATGGGAGGAAATCCCAGTTGTTTTGGAGGATTAAGGGCTTTGCTAGTAGGTCTTATAACAAAGCCAGCAAAACTAAACATATTTCTTACTTACGCCTATAAGGCAGAATTTAAAAAGAACAAACTTTATTTAAAGAGTGCTAAACGTAAATCTTGGATCTGCTTTTATTGGTCTATAGAGGGGGTAGATAATGTTGCCAGATATGGTAAAACACTGTCTATGGATCCCAAGTCTATAGGCAGTAGAAAGCAAGATAATGGTACATGGATAAACTCTGGCCCAGAGACTCTTGACCTCCCACTTCCCTGGTTGTAAGGATAGTATGGACAATTACCAATACCCTCCTAACATTGTGCAGCAGAAGATGAGGGACTTATAGGGAGGATAACACGCTACTCCAAAATTTTATGGATGATCAATACTTTTCAATTCTTCAAATCTCCTGGTCTTGATGGCATTATACCAGCAATGTCGCAAAAGCTATTGCTATTAAATCGAGAGCCGCTCTTGACTGCAAAGACCGCCTTGGTAAAAAAAAATGACGATGTGAAATATTTTTTTACAAAGAGTGATTTTTAAGCTATTTTCTTTTTTGACAACACAATCAAATCTAAAGGGCCACTGTTACTCAACAAGGACTTAGCTGTTAAGCCTTGCAAAATACAGCTGATACAACAAATATGTTAACTGCTTAAAAATCTCTCAGCTGCTTAAAAATCTCTCATTGAAGAAGATGGCGCTTGAAAACCGGTTGCAGTGTACCTAAGCCCATCTGGCCACAAATACAAGGGAACTTGTCTCTGTCACTTAGTAGACCTGATTTAAGAATCATGGTCTGGCTGGTTACTGCCGCATCAAATATTTTAACACAAGATTGGACAACAGTGTTCTTGATTACTGTCAACTTTGTAAAGATGAAGAAGAGTTAGAGACGATTGAACATCTACTTTGCAGATGTAGCATGTACCACCAACAAAAGACATAACATAGGCTATTTGGTAGGTGAATGATAGAATAGATCCCATCATCATTTACAAGATTGACAAAGGCGGACCACTTTGATAACTACACTTCCATCTATAAATATTTTCTTCTCCTTCTCGCTTTTTTATTTCTTCCTTGGATGAACACAATGGATCAAGTGTCTTCAAGCGAAGCTGTTGTCGAATTCATGCAGCTGAGCATCCTTAAATCTACCAAGCATGCTCGTGGCGACCATTTGTTTGATATATTTCGTAATTATTAATAATATCACTTTCCTTTATTTTGAATTAAATATACGAACATATATTTCAAAAAATATATATTTTTTCTTTTAATAAAAAATAACACTTCTCATTGGAACCCTTTATTGTTATACCCAGACATTGTATGGTCATCAATTATATATTTCATAGAAATCTCATTACACAATTGACCATTTTGTTTCATTTTACACAAATATTTTTTCACTTACCTGTAGCACATGTAAAATGAGAATAAATAATCTTCTCCGAATCTGGATTTAAGTCCACAAACATACGTAATATAAATTCACGGGCGGCTATGGCATCTCTTTGTGGACCTATATGTAGATTATTGCATAGCGATATAGCAGCAGCAATAATAGCAACAAGGATCGATGTACAACAAACATCACATAGAAATAAAGTAAAGAGAGAAAATTCCATGGGATATAAATAAAGCATTTCTAGCAAGTTCTAAATAGCTTTAAAATTAAAATATATAAAATTACATAAAAAATATATATTTCTAGCAATAATTTATCTACTACGAGTTTTTTGCCCAAATGCTACAACATCAATACACATTTTGTGCATTCTTCAGTTTTCGGTTTTAGTTTGTTTGAATTTTATAAATAACCTGTGGCCGTGGTAAAGTGAGAATAACATTGACGTTCAGGATCAGGATTGGCCGAGAGATATTTCTTTAAAATAAATTGTTTTGCGGCGGCATGATCACATTTGGGACCTATGGGGGGTTTTGTTTTCAAGTTTTAGGAATTTTTTAATATTTTTTTTTTAATAATTAATAACAAAAACAAAATAAAAAATAAAAAAAATAAATTAAAAATGAAAGAAATTTCCTGTTTTTAACATGGTTGAGCTATGCATAAATTGAAGATATCATTATAATTGATTCAAGGTACCTTCTTTTTTGGTTTAGAAAAAATTAATCAAATTAAAAAATTATATATACTATATTATGGGAAAAAAGGTTATATCAATTCGTTTTCTTTTAAATTATAAATATAAATTTTATAAATTATAACTAATAATAATTCTAAAACAACAATATTTATATATTTTTTATAGGTTAATATTATTTTAATTCAAGTTTTACTTGATGTTTATATACACATGACTGTTTGATTGTTTTACAAAAATTATAATCAAAAGAAAGAAAAAGGAGAACTAAATTGCCTTTATTTCATAGAGTACGAAAATAAATAACCTGTGGCCGTGGTAAAATGAGAATAACATTGGCGTTCAGGATCTGGATTGGCCGATAGATATTTCTTTAAAACAAATTGTTTTGCGGCGGCATGATCACATTTGGGACCTTTGTTTATTGTTTTTAATAAAATCAATTTAATATATTAATTTCAATTACAATCTCTGTTTTGGTTGGGCTCCATATTTCGGTTTGGCGTTGCATTGCAAAGCTAAAATCGAAGTGTTTAAAATATATTTGCCCACAACTTGATATATTGAATTTATTTTTCCAAAAAAGATTAATTTTCTTAACAGAATGAATCAAAGAAAATTGATCTCTTTTAGGAAGAAGTTTTTACATGATTCTCATGAAATAAAACAAGAATTGAAGATGGATTGTAGGTGGAATCCAAATTCAACATTTTATTTATTTATTCTTATATCTTGTTACTATATTATTTATATTATATTTTCTTAAAAAAACAGAATAAGATATTTAGCTGAACCATGTATAAAAAATTAAAAAAAAATATAAATAAGTAAAACTCAATTTTGTATCGAAAGAAAATTGTGCTACATTTTTCTCTTTCATAAAAAAACTAGTTTAAAATTATTAGTCGGTTTAGCCGATTTATGTATATTCTCAGCCAATGTCCGTATATTTAAATATATTTTGATTTGCGTTACGATCATTCAAAATGTTGACCCATAATGGGGGCGATTTCGAAGGAGTGTTTCTGAACTAATCCATTTCGTATCTGGCACAACTACATCCTTCACTTTATATGAGATATGTGATAATTTTTGGAAAATTATTCTTGATGGTATGCATCGATATTCTCCATTTTCCACCTGACCTTGCTCTAATAGAAATATTAGGATTTATTTGCAAAAAATTGGATGGATTTTTTTATATCCTCCCTCTGCCATGTGACTAGTAAGGGTATATATCATTTGATACGGTCAAAACGTGCCTAGACTAAATAACGGTTTTAGACCCTAGGTCTCTTTGGACCAAATTCGTTTCAGGACATTTGGAGCCGACCTAGCGTGTCCATCCGATTTGATCGAAATTTGGTACATCGTAATATTATTATCAAACTTAGATCGGGTTCGGAAATTGGCAATGTCGGTCCACTTCTCACGGTACCTCCCACACAAAATGTGTGCCTTTCGTTTAGATCGGACCATTTCTTCTGGCACCTCCCCCACATAAGGTTCAAGAATTTTGAAAAACAAATCACTCAAAGAAAGCGAAATAAAAATCCATCTCTCCTCAAATTTTACACATCCAAATAATTTTGCTAACGCAAGTTCTGTTGTGAAAACCCCCTTCTGGTACCTCACCCACAATGGGTCATAATTTCCAATACTTATATCTGTCATAATTTGTGAAACAAGTCGGCGATTCTTTGTAACTTGCTATATCTAAATATTTCTCTTAACCAGAAATCTGATATTAATGTGGAAATTATGATTCCGCATAAAATTGGATACAAATGTTCGATTTCCATCAAATTTTACTAATACCAATATTTTTATCGGTATTGATGAAGTAAGAAAATGGTTCGCTATATCTGTTACCACAGGCATAATTCCACATTTCCCAAAAATTTGCTCATATCTCACATAAAGTATAGGCAGTTTTCGATATAGTCCAAATCTGGAACATTGTAATATTTTATATCAGTCTTAGGTCAGATACAAATTGGTCAATATTGGCCAGCTGCTTCGGAACCTCCACCATAAAGGGTCAACAGTTTGAATAATTATAACTCGAGGTTGGGGGTATACATTTGTCGGCAAAACCGACTGATACTATTTTACTTGTTTATAAGATAAATTATTTTCTGAGAGAATTTTGATTTATTAAAAAAAAAAATTCTTCTCAGATTACAGCCCTGAATCTTTGAAAATTAAAATAAAACCCTTTTTAATAGTGTTTCAAAAACTATTGAGAAGTCCACGGTTACGTCTTTGAAAGTCCTTAATAGATAATAGATAGATAGTCCAAAATATGCTTTAAGCGTCATTTTTTCTGACTTTAATAGTCTTCTAAAAAATACACTTTAAATATCTAAGTTTATGACTCTGATAGTCCTTGAAAAATATTATTAAAACATCCACTATTAAAAATCAGTTAATAGGTCAAACAATCCTCAAAAAATTCTTAAACTTCCACAATTATATGTCTAGATTGAAAAATCAATTGCATAATAGTCCTTTAAAAATATTCTTATAAGGTCCTCGTTTATATTTTTAATACGAATGCACAGCTACAATTCCTATAGTTTAATAAAAAAATTATTTTTAAACACCTTTCGATTATAATTCTAATATTCTCAAAAAGTTCATGATTAATGCTCTGATAGTCAATTTTAGTCTTATGCTGTTTATAGCACACTGCTTTTTTCTCTCGATACAAAATTGTAATTCATTAATATCTCCCCTCTGATAAAAAAAACACACAACTTATCTCAAAAACGCCATCAATAACAAAACTTACCATCATATTCAGGAAAATAATCTACCAAATGCGAATACATAATTTTTTCTTCTAACAAGTCTTTCTTATTTAAGAAAAGAATTACTGATGAATTCTGGAACCAAGGATACGTAATAATAGTTCTAAATAAAGCTTTTGATTCTTCCATACGATTCTGAAAATGAAAAAAGGAAATACATGATTGGCATTATTTAATAAATTAGAAAGGAAAGCAGACAATTACTCACCTCATTATCAGATTCGAATAAAATTTGATCATATTCCGAAAGGGCCACTAAAAATATGATTGATGTTACATTTTCAAAACAATGAATCCATTTTCTTCTCTCCGAACGCTGACCGCCTACGTCTACCATTCTGCGTGTAGGAAAACAAAGCAAAAAATATTAATAATTTGATTTGGAATATTTTGAAGAAAAATTAAAAAATTCAATTGAAAACAAATTACAAATCATGATAACACGTAGGATTATGACAACATACAAGGCATTTATAAGATTAAAAAAATAGCAACTCAAAAAATAAGCATTTAATAATAAAGCCATCTTTAAATATTTTTCTTAATAATATTAAAGAAAGGAAAAGGAGGAAAGGAAGAAAAAATGAATATAACTAAAAACAAAAATTATACAAATTAAAATAAAATATTAATACTATTTTTATCTTATTTTAATATCCAATATTTCCTATAATCTACATTTTTAATAGGAAATTAAATACTAATACTGTTATTATATTAATATATAATATTTAGCCTATAGTCTACATTTTAATGGGACCTTATATAGACCTTTGGAACTTTCCTTCGAATACTTTACTTTTAGCCCTTACATAGGATTTTATTTCTGGGGATTTGATTTATAGAATTAATTAGAATTTACCTAAATACAATGCCATCCAAATCGAATGGATACTCCAAGATACCCGTAGTCGGTACACGAGCACGTAAAATATCTTGTTCAGTTGGCAAATAGTCGGGCTGTTCAATACGTGGTATATCACTTAGATAACTATAATATTTTTGTGGTAAAAGGGAAAGGGATTAAATTAATAAAAAAAAAAAAAATTGTTGCTTAACTATATTGTCAGTCTAAATAATTAATTTCGGGTCCAAAATAATGTTATTTGATAAATGAAATAAGATTGGCGAAAAAAGTTTATTTTTTAAAAGTCGAGTATGGTCCAGGGAACACGGAAATTCCACGGTTTAAAGAAAATATTCAACATTTTAAAACGGGATATCTTTCTGCCCTTCTTTATGTGCCTATAGCAGACAGGTGAGTTCCTATTGAACTCCTAAAATGAACGAATTTTCAAAGTTCTTCCATAGTTAGAAAGTTTTCTGTCTTCTATTAATGTGCAAACTCTCAACGCATTTTTAATAAAAAGAATTATTCTATAGATGGAAGACCATCTTTAGATAGGCTGCCATTTTATAGGAGAAAATAAACTATAAATTTAAGTAAATATATTATTTTAATATACATTCATATACTTTATATAAACCTTAAACTAAATCAAAATATTAATCTTTAATGATAAATACTTTTAAAACTATTCATAAATTAAAACAAATTTCACCATCACCAACAAAAATAAAAAACTCTCACATGCAAAGTTAAATCATTAAAATTTATAGATTAGAAGAAGAGAAGAGATTGTTGTTAGTAAAAAGAACGATAGAAAAAAAAAAACAAAAAGAAACATGCACATAGAGTAATCCGCGATTGGCTTCCTACCTAAATCGTATTTCTTCTAAATCAAATGGATATTCAATAATCCCCGTTGTTGGAACACGAACGCGTAGAATATCCTGTACAGTTGGTAAATAATCAGGTTGAGCCACACGATCAAGATCCATTAGATAACTAGGAGGAGATGAGGCGGAATGGGATAAATTATTTAGATGAAAATTCTTTATAATTAAAAATATTTTAGGACTTTTATTTTCAACTTCGACTCTTTGATGACCATCTCGCGTGATTATGTGTCAGCTCAAGATAAAATAAAATTTATAAAGGAATAATGATTTGTTTTCACTTCATTATCGATATGAAAAGTTATGTATGTAGCAATTATGTTTATTTCGGATTTTATGATCGTTTTCGTTATTCAAAATATTGAACCTTTGTGGGGGAGGTACCAGAAGGTAGGGGAGGTACCGATCTCTAACATCACATTTTAAAATAGTGATAATTATTCAAAGTTTTGACCCTTTGTGGGGGATGTATTTGATGGAGAAGACCGATATCGTCCATTTTCGCATCCGACCTGGCACTGATACAAATACTAGGATTTGCAAAGTTGGTACAAAATTGGATTGTCCTTTCTCTTTTTTTGAAAACTTCGACCTTTTGTGGGGGTACCAGAAGGAATGGAGGCACGTTTTGACGGTATCAAATGATATATATACCCTCTCTAGCCATATGGCTGAGGGTATAAAAAACGAAAATATTTTTCGTGTTAAAATATTCATAGGTTTGTGGATATATGGGTTTTGCCATCGCGTTATATGTATTCCTATCCATATTCCCTGATAGGAAGAGATTGGAACTTAGGCATCTTATTACATCTCCATCATAAAATGGAGGGATCATTCGGTTTACAATATCTGGAAATTTTCGTCGTAAAACCATTAAGTATATATATCCATAATCAGCGTGAAATTTTTTATCGATTTTGCCGTGTTCGTCTGTCAATATGTTAAAATCGTGACAGAACGCGTACTATTAAAGATACACCTTTAAAACGTGGCACAGACATTGATACTTATTCTAGGTCGTGTATATATATCGCTACACGTTTGGGTATAACACGCATATATCGACATTTAGTTAAGTCTTTTGTAGACAGTACTTGAAAACTGAATTTCAATGTTCGCTGGGAGGACCGGATCGTCCACATTTAGTACTGATCAAGTGATATTCTTACACAAGATTTGACGGAACAATATTTAGCTGACGTTCGGGGGAGAACCACTGGACAGCAGACAAATATTCCCAAAGTCTCGATATAGGATGATATATAAAAAAAACTTGTGAAATTATCATAATCACTGCCAAAAATACTGTAGAGCTTTTAAACATTTTGATATGGATTTATACTACTGCGAGAATTTCTGCCATTTGCGGCAGCATACGTGAACATTTGTTATAGAAAAATTGCATTCGGTCTTCTTCACCTTAAACATTTTTATTTTTCATATCGATAATGAAGTTCATTGCAATTAGCACAATTATACATGTGTGCAAAAAATGTGAACGCTATCACAATCACATCCCCGCCAATAACACTTACTATTTAGCTGAATCTGTTAATTGATATTCTCTTCGTCGATCGTAGCATTCCTGAATGCCAGCATCGGCCCATAGTGTTTTAATGGCTGACAAATATGGATCCTCGAATGTTGTCACTGATTCGTAATCAATGCTCATAACAAGTTCGCCAAGTTCCTGTAATGGTAAAATGTATTATTTGGTAATGTAAAAGAATCACAATACAGTAATAATATATAACTTACCGCATGATCGGCAACACCATATGATATACTTAACATATCCATGGCTTTGATCATGGACTGCATGGCCATGAATATATTTTGAAACACTAATTTAATATAGCCACGTTTATCATCGTCTGAATAACCGCTGCCGTGAATAATACGCATCTGTTTGATAAAAGTGGATTTACCGGATTCACCAGTACCTATTTATAATACAATTGAAATGGACGATAAAAAGGGTATTAGTAGTTTATTTTTTTTTTCAAACTAAATATGGGCAGAAGATAAAATAAAAATGTAAATTGTATTTGTGTGGCAGTGGAAACTTCGATGGCGGTATTAAGGCAAATGATCTAGATAATGACCTTTTATATATATCTAGAAAATTGTGAAAGATGCGCGACTAATTACATTGTCAAGACCCTGAAGAAACGACTAGGGCCAGAGTCTTGATATTTGCAATGTAGGCAGTTTTTGGTAGGTATCTGGGCAATAAAGAGGAGTTTTTGGAAATACGTATAAAAAGATTCTAAAAAGTCCTAGTTAGTTTTGGGGCATAAATTCTTGACTTTTAGGGACAGAATATTTAAATTTGATTAGAGAGGCTTGAAACCCCCACCTGTTATTGTGAATAAACTTCCCGTCCATCCTCAACAAGACGACGCTACGTGCAACGAAGAACGGGCTAAGCAACGAAGAACGAACTAAGTAACCTCTCGAAGAGCCGATCACGAGAAAGATAAGATCAACTTCAACAGTCCAGTGTCGTTTGAAGGACCTAAATATGGAATTTGTGAGACCACCGAGGACATAGGGCAGGGAATACTCTTTGCGATTTAAAAATCGAATAAGCTTTTAGTGGCGATTTGGTTAATACCTTCCTCTTTGTTATGAAATATACATCCGATTATTTATGCCATTAAATTACATTTTTCCTTTAAACTAAAATTACACTTTCGATAGAAAAAGCTATTAGTTCCCTATCTGTGTCTGAGACATAGAATATATTCTTTTTTAGGACGCCTGGCGAAGGAGTTATATTTCTAAATGACCATATAGGACTACATAAATTTTTACAGAAAATTTATTCTTTCTCTAGAAGAAATCTGAAAAGATTTGTCAATAGAAGACCTACACGTCTTCATCTAAAGAGGACCTGGAAAAAGTTATATAATCAGTTGAGGACCTTTATAAGATCTTATATTTGCAGAATAGTTTGATAAAGCCTATAAACACTCTTTTGCATATTTGTAATTAAATAGTATGAAAATTAGAAAAGGTTTCTATAGACCATGCCGTATATAGGTCTATAGATCTTCTATTTTCTAGAAGCAATAAAAAAATATACTGAATATAGCTAAACAAAGTCAGATGAAAAAACTGCAACCAACTTCAGACTGCTGTCATTTTCTAAGCCACTTGTGAGAATTTTCCAGAAAAAAGTTATTCGTGATGGAATTCAAGAGTGATTTCTTTATATTTGGCTGGGAAACCACAGCCGAATGGTCATTCTCCGCTCGTCGTGACATCAGAATAAGTGCCGAATATTATCGCGAAAATATTCTGGAGTGTGTATTAAAGTCTTGGGCATGCAAACATTTTGGCCGAAAGCCTTTGAACATTACAACATGACTCAGCACGAGCCACCCAATAATAATTACAAAATGAGGTTCCTCGCTTCATTTTCAGCGCACAATGGCCACCAAAATGTCCCGATACCAATCTGTTGGACTATTGTGTCTGGAGTATTTTAGAAAGCAAGGTTGGCACTAAAAAAACCGAAGTGTTAATCATCTCAAGCAAGTGCTTCGCCGGAAATGGGCCAAAATACCGCAGACTTACATGGTGACGGTTTCATTGGCCTTTTGAAAGCCATAATTCCTGCCAATGGTGACCAATTCGAACAAATCTAAACTTGTTCTGAAATTTGATGCTATTTACATTTTTTTTCTTTCATTCAATAAAATTAAAAAAAAATGTAAAAATTATGACGTTTGGCTCTGAGCTCCCCCTGTATTCTAGGTTAGATATAGAATGTTTAATTTATAATCACGCTACAGGTCACAATTATGGCCCGATCCTCAAATTTTGCATGGAGGTCGGTTATTATTTGGAGATGATCTCATGATGATCTCTCATTTTAGGGGTTGAAATGGACCGAAAACAGAACTTTTGCAGTTGTTCTATAAGATCTTATATTTGCAGAATAGTTTGATAAAGCCTATAAACTCTCTTTTAAAACCAGAAAATATCTAATAGGTGTCCTATCAATAGGTCTGAGAAATGTTTCCCATCGTTAGAAGTCACTTAGAAACTCCCCATAGGGGACCTGTCTGCCTTAGAAGGACCTGGAGGGGATTATTATCAAAGGACTTCATTCTGCAAGATACCATTAAAAGTAAACGCTCCAACCTCTAGAAGAAAACTAAAAGGAGCATTTTTTCCATAAAATATCTTTGGAATGTATTTTATTATTAGAGGGATCTATAGTCGTCTATTCAAAGAACCTGAACCTTTAGAAGACCTTCGAAATCTTTTCCAGCTCTAGAAGACATCTTGAAAGAGTTGTATAAATTGAAAATATGTGGAATGTCTTTTTCCGGACAAGCTTATAACCAGAAATCCTTTAGAAGATGCTATCTCATACGAGTTCTATAATTAAAAATCTATGGAATCTCTTCTATGATTAGATTAGATTATTACGCATCCTCTGTCTAAAGACGACCTGGATAGGATTGTTATCAATTTCGGAACATTATAAATACTTCTGTCTGCAAGATATCTTTAAAAGATCTATAGGAACTCTTCCATCTCTACAATAAATTTTAAAGGAGTTCTATAAATTGAAGGCCTAAGAGAACTCGAATGGGGGCTTTGGTTTTGGAATACCCATAATAAGACTTCTATCCATAGAAGGCATGGAGAAGGTTATAATAAATTGGGAACCCTTATAAGGTCTTCTATCTTTTAGAAGACTTATTGAATCCAATCTACATCAAGAAAACCCGTACATTGTTTTTAATCATGAGAAGTCATAAAGACCTTATTCAGTCCCAAAATCCAGTCTCTTCTATCACACGACTTTGCCATAGATGACCTTAAGTTAGTGTGTCTTCTATCTAAAAAAGACCTGGAGAGAAATGTTATTAATCTGGTAGTTTGAAGGGCTTTTATCTGCAAGATACCTCTAAAGGACCTACAGAAAATTCTCCATCTCAATAAGTCATCTAAAAGGAGTCTTATAATTGAGTCCTATACTTAGAATATAGAGTTTTTTTTTAATAGAGGAGCTATAATAGTCTGGTAAAGACCTGGAGAAGATTTTAAAAAAATGAGGACCTCTCTATTTGCAAAAGCCCTTTAGAAGAGATATGCAGTCTCTTCCACCTCTAGAAGGCCTGGGGAATGTATCTTCCCTTAAGAAGTAATGTAGTAGGTTGGTCACCCCAAGTCGAGTCTTCGCAGCACACATTTATATAAAAAAATAAAAATAAATTAATAAAATTAAAATATATCAAAATCTACTCACCTAATAGCAATAATTTCAATTCTCTTCGCGCATCTCTTTTGTCACGACGCAGTTGCCGTTCAATTTCCTGATTGATACGCTTCTGTTCCTTTGCCTCTTCGGATAAACAGCACTCCATGCTAACTAAATGTTTTTAAGCCGCTAACGCTGCTTAAACGCCACACGTTGAACAATTATGTGTATACTAATTACTTATATATATACGAATATATAATATGTGTATCTATGTATTTTAAATATATAAATGGATGTTTCTGTAGATTCCAAGAAGACTAAAGATACCGCTGGATGATACCCAAAAATTCCAATGATCAAGATGATATTCTTCGTTTCTTTTTTCTAAGGGTTTTATGTGAGTGTGTGGGGGGTGTGTATTTGCCAAGTCCCCGGAAAAGAAGGCAGAAGACAGAGAATTAACAGGGATGGGAGGCGAAAGGAAACGCCAGTAATTCAAATTTACAGCTGAAATTTGTTGTTGTTTCCAAATCCACTTGTTGTTGTTTGTGTTATCTTTGTTTGGTTGATAGTTGTTACCGCCGACTGTACCAATTATGTTGGAACTAAAATCAGCATTGCTTCCTCAAATCTCCTTTGTGAGTAGAGTCGTCCACGTCCTGATAACTTTTCAACAGCTGCTGTTGCATAAAGTTTGTTTTGGTGGTATTTGTTAGATTGTAGTTTTTCTTCTAGCCCTTCACTTGTTCGTTCGTTCTCAACCTTCCTCCTTTGCACTCCTTTTTCTTTTGGTATCTTTGAAGATTTCCTTTTGTTTTCTTCTTGTAATTTGAAGAGGGTTTTTACATGGAAATGGTTAATATAAATGCCACTATGAGTTCGTTTTTTATTATTTTAAATGTAGGTTTTGTTTTCTTGGTTGTTTCCTTTGCTTGTTCTTCTTCTTCTGCTGTTGCTGCTAAAAGTAGAATTTTGACAGAACCATTGAAACACGATTTGGTTTTTTTTGCTGAGATTGGGTTTTCTTTTCAAGGGAATTCAATCACTGATGGTGTGAATTTAGCCAAACCAGTCTAACTTTCTTCTTTTAACCAATTCTTTTGTTGACTTTGATGTATATTTCTGAAAGGAGAGTAAAGAGAGAAAAAATAGTTAGTTATTTCGAATATATAGTACAAATATTTTGGTAGTAAAGTTGGAAATTTTATTACAATCTAGACAAGATGACCACCTAATCCTTCCTAGTCTGGGTATCTATATCAATTTATAATTCATTTTACAAGAGAAGATGAACGTGAACTGTCCCGGCAATATATAGAAAATACTTATATGTAAAATTTTAAAAGAAGAGAGGCGAATTGCCTTATCAACAGCCTGAAATAATTGAAAAATCGTAGCAAAAGATACTAAAAAATACTAAAATCTCCTTAAATTCTAAAATTTGACATGAGAATCACTAATTGTGTGAAGGGAGGAGATAAGGCAGAATTTGAAGTGTACGAATTGTATAGAAAGCGACCAGGAATCTTAAGTACTCGTAGATTTTGTAATTAAGTAATATGAAAATTAGAAAAGGTTTCTATAGACCATGCCGTATATAGGTCTATAGATCTTCTATTTTCTAGAAGCAATAAAAAAATATACTGAATATAGCTAAACAAAGTCAGATGAAAAAACTGCAACCAACTTCAGACTGCTGTCATTTCTAAGCCACTTGTCCAACAACTGTTAAAATTAAAACATTTTGGTGAGAATTTTCCAGAAAAAAAGTTATTCGTGATGGAATTCTAGCTTGATTTCTTTATATTTGGCTGGGAAACCACAGGTCATTCTCCGCTCGTCGTGACATCAGAATAAATGCCGAATATTATCGCGAAAATATTCTGGAGTATGTATTAAAGCCTTGGGCATGCAAACATTTTGGCCGCAGACCTTGGACATTACAACAGGACTCAGCACCATCACACTCAGCACGAGCCACCCAAGAATGGTTACAAAATGAGGTTCCTCGCTTCATTTTCAGCGCTCAATGGCCACCAAAATCTCCCGATACCAATCCGTTGAACTATTATGTCTGGAGTATTTTGGAAATCAAGGTTGGCACTAAAAAATACCAAAGTGCCGATCGCCTCAAGCAAGTGTCGATCGCCGCAGACTAACATTCCGACAGGGTGTGACGGTTTCATTGGCCTTTTTGAAGGCCATAATTCGTGCCAAAGGTGACCAATTCGAACTAATCTAAACTTATTCTGAAATTTGATGCTTTTTAAACGACATTTTTTTCTTTCATTCAATAAAATTAAAAAAAGTAAAAATTATGACGTTTGGCTTTGTTGCAGTTTTTTTATCTCACCCTGTATCCTAGGTTAGATATAGAATATTTAATTTATAATCACGCTGCAGGTCACAATTATGGCCCGATCCACACGAAATGTTGCATGGAAGTCGGTTTATGGACCTTTATTTTTTTTTGAGGATGATCTCAAAATAATTAGGGTCTGAAATGGACCAAAAACTGAAAAATTTCCTGACTTTGCTGTTGTTCTACAGGTTACAATTATTCAACAAACGATCAATTTCGAATGGTGCTAGCGTTTTGAGCTGGGCTGAAGCCTACCATTTTGTTTGGTAATCGGACAATATTTAGCGGGTAAAATAGACCATAACTTGTATATAAAAAATACGGAAACTTCCACTAAACCGCAAATATTTTTTTTTATTACAACGAAGTTACAAATACACGCAAAAGTCGCAAGTGATCGTTATAGTGATGCTGTTAGCCAAGATATCGGATATGTAGCAAAAGAGGTACAATCCATATGTAAAAAATTGTGTTTAGTTACTACAATCAGAAGTCAAAAACCGCGGGACTGATTTTGACAATTCTGCCAACTTAAAGCGAATCTTTTTTGTAATTTTTTGCCAATTTTGGTTCTTTAGTAATGTTTTGTCATATTTTTTTTTCTTTTTTGCCATTTTTTTTATATTGCATGCGATTTTTTCGATTTGACTAACATCAGTGTTAGGTTAGGTAAGAAAATGAAATATTTTGGTCCTCCCTATCAAGTTCTTCTCACACAAAGGCCTAAAATTTGGAATAATAATAAACGGAATAAGCATCCGATTCTCTTCAAATTTCACACATCCCAATATTTCTACTAACACAAGATCTGGTGTGAAATACCTACCCAACAAAGGGTCAAGATTTTGAATAATCGCGAAAGTTTTGAAAAAAAAAAAAAAAAACAAAAACCATCCCAAATAGATGTGATGTAAGCATCCAATACCTTTCAAATTTCACAAATCCCAATAATTCTATTAACACAAGATCTCGTGTGAAGATGATAGATGTCGGATCACGCCTTCTGGTACCTCTCCCACAAAGGGTGACAATTTCCAAAACTAACATTTCTCATAATTTGCGAAACAAGTCAGAGGTAATCGCATACTCCTTTTAAGAGAGCTATCGTGCGCACCAGCCGGACGGTCGGACGGACACCGCCAGATCGACTCCAAATGTCCTGAAACGAATTTCGAAACCTAGGGTCTAAAATCGTTATTTCAATGAAGCATGTTTTGACTGTATCAAATGATACAGTAAAAAAGCAGATGAGTGGCGAACTTTTAGTACCCTCCACCATTTTGAAGGATCTTGAATAATTTAAAAAAATAAGAAATGCGTCGAAAAATACAACTTAAAACCGTTATATGGAAGATATACGAAGACGTATAAGCAATTTTGTGTCGTAGATTGTAGTATCGATTACGAACTTCAAATACAAATTTGAAATAATTCCGTTGAATAATGTCGCTAATATCAATCAAAATATCGAATATTGGGGGTACAGATATATGGAGGCTATACGAAGGCGTGGGCCTGCGAATTCTAAATTCAAAATTTAAAACAACTTCGATGAATTATTTCCCTAATATCAGTCAAAATATCGAATATCGGGGGGTACCGTGGTATGTGGGTTATACGATATCGTGGACCAATAAAGATATTTCTTTTCCAGGGGCTAAAGCGCTTAGAAAGAACTTCTAGTAAGTATTTTTAAACAATTCCATTAAATATGTAGCTAAAATAATTTTAATGCCGAATATCGGGTGTACCGAATATCGGGACGTACCGATATATGGGGGACATACGACATCGTTGACCTATATAGACAATACTCTCCCAGGGGTTAAAATACTTAGAAGGAACTTCTATTGTGGAATTTCAGACATCATAAAAATACCGAGTATCTTCGGTACCGTTATATGGGGGCCATACCATATCCTGGACTGATATAGCCCATCTTTAAAATTGACCTGCCTGCAGACAGAAGACTGATCTGTGCAAAACTTTAGCTTCTTATCTTAATTCGTTTTGACTCTAGCGTAATTACAACAGACAGACGGACGGACAGGGCTAAATCGTCTTAGAATTTTACGCAGATCAAGAATTTATAATTTGATCATAAAAATACCGAGTATCTGCGGTACCGTTATATGGGGGCCATACCATATCGTGAACCGATATAATCCATCTTTAAAATTGACCTGTCTACAGACAGAAGATTGATCTGTGCAAAACTTTAGCTTCCTATCTTAATTCGTTTTGACTCTAGCGTGATTACAACAGACAGACGGACGGACAGGATTAAATCATCTTAGAATTTTACACTTCTTAAGAATATATACTTTGATAGGTCTAAAATTATTATTGTGTCGATGAGTTGCAAACGGTATGACGAACTTAATATACCCTCCATACTATGTATGGTGGAGGGTGTAAACATTGTCGAAAAATTGGGGCAAATACATTTTCTACATTTATTTAATCCAAAATATTTGAAACAAGTTAAACAACCCATTTTGAATGTCTATTCAAAATATTGCCATCATATTTTTATTTGAAAATACCGAATATTAAAAAAAAAAAAACATTGAAAGCCCTGCTGGCTTGTCGAAAATGTGACCATTATGAAACATAAACAAAGCTGGAACTTAAAAAAAAAATCAAACAAATCGTCGTAAAAAAGCAAAGAACGCCATCGCAAAATCACGCCACATTTGCAACAGAAAAAAAAAAAAAATACCAACCCACCAAAAGCAGGCAATTGGTGTGTCGGCCATTCATCCAGCCAGCTAGCCAGCCAACAAACAAACAAACCTCCAATGCACCGGCAAATTATTATTGTTGCAAAAAAAAAAAAAAAAAAATGAAAAAAAAAAAACGTACGAAATGCATGTTGGAGAAAAAAAGACACAAAAACAAATATAATTTATTTGCAACAACAACAAAAACAAGGGCAACCCTTATGCATGGAATAACATATTTCGGGATAATTGAATTACAAAGAGATTACAAACTATCAGTGACGTCACCTAAATCGTGTATCTTGAGAAAATACGAATAGTTAAACTAAAAAGTCTATGGAGGGATTGTTTTTTCGTGCGAGGACAAGAGTTTTTTTAAATATCGCCTAGAAAATAAAATTCCTGAAGGTAATTGCAGAAAGGGGTTGAATTTTAATTTAAAAACAGGGGTTTGCTAAACATAACTTTTGCTAAACATAGTCAAACAAATGCGAATTGAAATTTTCAATGGATTAATTATAGACTTCTTTATGGGTTATGCCCATAAATTCTTGTTTGGTTTTCTATAAGCACATCTCTCGTCCATTCCGATTTTTTTATATAGACATCGTTCTGATCACCCACAAGGATTTCCATATGGTTGTCAATTAAGCCTCAGATACCGTTTTTTAAAGAAAAGTAATATATAATATTGGGCTCTTCGCCCAGTGTTCTTTGCGATATAAACTAGAATTGTCTAAATACCGTTGTTGGGAATTGCAACAGATTGTATACACCCATACACCCAGTAGACCACCAACATTACGATTCGAAAATTAATAACGCCGAATGCCTAAACAAAAATAGGTAATTTTGGTCCAGCTTCTTTCATGTAAACCAACACTACAGCCGGGGGGGACCGACCATGACTTACAATGATATAATTTAAGACATACTTCCCCTTTGGCTTGGAATGAACGAATATCCCAAGACCGTTCGATGTACTAGTAATTTCGTCGGAAAGTGACTTTCAGTATAAAAAATCTTCGCGATTATAT